ATGGCTAAGAGCAGAAAAGGTGAAGAAAGAGACAGAGGGGTTAATTCTGGCTGCACAAGACCAAGCCTTAAGAACAAATACATACAAAGCCAGAATTGGGAAGACAGCAACAGACAACAAATGCCGCTTCTGCAAAGAAGCAGAAGAAACAGTGGACCACCTAATCAGCCACTGCAAGACAGACTGACTACAAACAACAGCATGACAAAGTAGCAACAATGGTGCATTGGAATATCTGTGAGAAATACCATTTGCCTGCAAGCAAGAACTGGTGGGACCACAAAACAGACAAGCAACAATGGTGCATTGGAATATCTGTGAGAAATACCATTTGCCTGCAAGCAAGAACTGGTGGGACCACAAAACAGACAAATGAATAGAAAATGAAGAAGCTAAAATGCTCTGGGACTTTAGAATTCAGACAGACACCCACCTGCCACATAACACCTCAGACTTAAGAGTTGTTGATAAGAAAGACAAAAAAGTTGGAATAGGGGACACTGCAATACCTGGAGACAGCAGAAAGAAGAGAAAGGACTGGAGAAAATCACAAAGTCCAAAGACCCGCAAATAGAAATAGAACAACTGTGGCAAAAGAAAGCAAAGATAGTACCAATAACAATAAGTGCCTTGGGTGCAATCCCAAAACATCTGGAGCACCACTTGAACACCATCGGCACTGATAAAATCACCATCAGTCAATTGCAAAAGGCAGCTTTACTCGGAACAGCTTGCATTCTGTGACGATACCTTTAACAGCATCAAACAACAACATCTGCCTATCCCAGGTCCTTGGGAAGGACTCAATAGATGGATAAAAATGCCAAATCCAGTCTAAACAACTGGCTGACTGTATGATTGTGCAACAATAATAATAGTACTATTATTACTGTTGCAACTGTGCAAGAATAATAATAGTAGTAGTCTGGATAGTGGTCATTGCAATACCTGCTGTTATGGAATGTACCTACGAAGTGGGAGGTGGTGTGATGGAATGCAGTAGAGATCCAAGTTCTCAGAAAGGAGGAACCCCATTCCAGGCAGGAGACAACAGACAACATAGTACAGAACAGGAGCATGGGAAAAAGAAGAGACTTAAGATAGTCACTACCTAGATTCTCCCAGAGTATATCTATTAGGTTAGCATACCACAGATTCAGTCTGGCAAGATTCTGTCTATATGGTGTAAACAATAAAAAACTGAAATTGGCTGGATTGTCTCCCTGTTGTTTTTGGGCTGGATCTGACACCTGGAGACAGCAGAATAGAAGAGAAAGAATTGGAGAAAATCAGAAAATACAAAGATTTGCAAATAGAAATAGAACGACTGTGGCAAAAGAGAGCAAAGATAGTACTAACAGTAGTAAGTGCCTTGGGTACTTTCCCAAAACATCTGGAGCACCATCTGAAGACTATTGCCATTGACAAAATCACCATCAGTCAATTGCAAAAGGCAGCTTTACTCGGAACAGCTTGCATTCTGTGACGATACCTTTAACAGCATCAAACAACAACATCTGGCTATCCTAGGTCCTTGAGAAGGACTTGACAGGTGGATAAAAATGCCAAATCCAGTCTAAAGATCTGGCTGACTGTGCGACCAACAATAATTACTTGAAACAATAATAATGTTATTTGGAACATTACATCCTGCGATGATACCTGTAACACCATCAAACAACATCTGCCTATGCCAAGGCCTTGGGAAAGACTTGATAGGTGGATAAAAATGCCAAATCCAGTCTAACCATCTGGCTGACTGTGCGACCAACAATAATAATATTCTCTGTCTCTCTCTATCTCCCTCTCAAAAAGGGTAAGTTTCCCTCTAGAAGAAATATATTTTTCTATTTTTGTTTTTTGTATCTATTGCAATCCAAGATTTAACAGCTGAAAATATAAAACCATATAGCAAAGAGATATGCTTGAGCCTGGCAGCCAGTTATGTTACATTACCCAAATCTCTCCTCCACTTGTGATCATATAATATTCATATGTTTTCTCTGCATTAGTTTTATTCAAAGGCCTAGATGTTAATTCTTCAGATTAAATATACATTATAATTGAAGATTTTTTTTAATCATTTGAAATATATTTCAACATCTAAAGTGGGTAAAATGGCAGATGGTGCACTACATGGTACTTTGTTTACTCATATATATTAATGTAAATATTCACAAAATGGGCTTGAAGAAACAGTATAGAAAAGAGTATTGACACTTTTGAACTTTGGTGTTGGAAAAAACTCCTGAGAGTACCATGGACAGCTGAGAAAATAAACAAATGGATCACCTAACAAATAAACACAGGGTTCTCACCCAAGGCATAAATAACCAGGCTCAAATTATCCTACTTTGGATTCGTGTGAAGACCTAGCTCTCTGGAGAAGACACGGTTGGAAGACCTGAAGGACCAAGTTAGAGACAGATTGTCATGGAGAACATCTATCTACTGTATGTGGTGCCAAGAGTTGATACCAACTTGACAGCATGTCATCAATCAATTCGCAATACACAAGGCACATCCCCCATCAATGAAGAAATCTGAGACCTTCTAGGAAGGCAACTTATTCCTGACGAATCACAATACTGTAATTAAATTTTACTAGTGTATTCCCTAAATTAAAAAATAGAAACAAATTAGGTACATTAATCTAATAGGAAAATCAGAGCTGTTTCTAATAAATAAGATCAGTGGCACATGTATTTTTTATTATTATTATCCCATGTTAAATATATTATCCCATGTTTCAATGGTTTTCCATGAAATTGTTCTGTTTTTCACCTTGTAGCAGTTCAGCAGATTATGGTCTGATTCCCATCCATGCAGGCAAGAATTAAAAGGTTTGTCATAATTTGGCTGCTTATTGGTATCACTTTTTTCATGGAAATTAACATCTTGTTTACACAGTGACTTAGCTGTGAAGGTTGTACAATTTTTCACCTCCCACATGCCGATGGGTTCTTCCTGTCGCATAACAACACATCCTCCAGGATGTCCTAAAATGGGGTAGAAGGAGAGAAGATATTTATCCACAAGTACAATTATATTTTTCCCAGTATAAAATGTGCATAAAACATATCAAATCTTTAATGCTAAAAATGGTTTATAATATCATAGACTAGAAATATGTTTTGTTGTCTAGTAACTAAAACTGGTATTAGAAATGAAAAAGATTTTAGCCCCTTACTTTAAATATCATGGTTTTACAAATGAAACATAGCTCTTTTTTGGCTCATTGAGGATTTTTTTCTCATTTGGCTGAGAAAATAATTCTAGCCAAAGAGTTTCAAGGCTGGGTGGATGAAACTAAATCTGATCTGTGACAGTACTGCATGGTTTCAAGTATAATCCATTCTGTCAAATTTTCAGCAAGTTAAGTTGCCCCAATTTTTTCTTTTGGATTTAATTAAGTTGTAAATGATACATAATAGAATACAGATATTAGTGGGTACAGTGGTATTTGTGCAACGTAAACTAAAAACTGCTGACATTATAATAATTTAGATAACTTAAACCTTTAAAGATAAGAAGAAAAAAGTTTATATCGGTCTTAACTATAATTCTGAAATGTTAATGAACAAAAAGTTGCTTAAATTGTATAATTAAGGCTAAGTATGGTATGGATAGACTATTGCAAAATGCATTGAATCGGTTTGTTTGTTTGTTCATTCATTCATTCATTCATTCAATTTGTATGGCCACCCATCTCAGCAAGTGACTCTGGGCAGTGAACAATCTTAAAATAAATTAAAAAATAAATTTCCATCATGGCTACAAAACTTAAAATATACAGCAGTCAAGGAGAAAGTTACAATCCATGGTTGTTAACCTTCACATGCCCCAGGCCTGGGCACATAACCAGGTCTTTAAGGCCTTATGAAAGGCCAGCAGGATCAGGGCCATCCTAATCTGCGGAGGGAGGATATTCCATAGGGCAATTGCTACAGCAGAAAAGGCATGCCTCCTGGGGCCCACAGACTGGTGTTCCCTAGCTGACAGGACCCAGAGCATGCCCATCCTGCTGGACTACATTGGAAGGGTAGAAACAACTGGGAAAAGATGGTTCCTCAGGTAACCCAGTCCCAAGCCATGAAGGGCTTTAAAGGTGACAACCAGCACCTTGAATTGCATCCAGAAGCACAATGCAACCAACACAGGTCATGGAGTAGTGGTGTTACATGTGCCAAGTAACCAATACAATTTACTACCTGTGTAGCTGCATTCTGCACCAGTTGAAGCTTCCAAATTCTCTTCAAGGGCAGCCCCATATAGAGCACATTGCAGTAATCCAGACAGGAGGTCACGAGAGCATGAGTGACAGTGAGCAGGGCCTCCCAGTCCAGGAATGGGCATAAGTGGCACACAACCCAAAGGTGTGCAAAGGTCTTCCTAGCCACGACTGCCACCTGCTCTTCCAACAGGAGTTGTGAGTCCAAGAGGACCCTGAGACTGCACAATGGATCTGCCTGAGGCAGTGCCACCCCATCCAAGACCAAAGATGGAAAATCCTTGGCACCAGAAGGTCCAAACACCCAAAGCTGCCCAGTCTTTCTTGGACTGAGCTGAAGCCTGCTGCACCCCATCCAGGCCCCCACAACCCCCAGGCATTGGGACAGGATGTCCATGGTATCACTCAGGCGGCCTGGGATGGAGATGTAAAGCTGGGTATCATCAGCATACTGGTGATACCTCACCCCAAACCATTGGATCACCTCACCCAGTGGCCTCATGTTGATGTTAAACAGGAGGGGAGAGAAGACCAAGCCCTGCGGCACCCCACGAAGTAGGGGCCGTGAGCTGGACCTCTCCTCGCCTATCAACACTGACTGGAACTGGCCCCAGGGGAAGGAGGAGAACTAGCACAACACAGTGCTACCTGCCCCAACTATTTTGTAATATAATAAGGATTTCTATTAAGCTTGATACTTAATACAGAGTCTCCACTACAGTACAGTCGTGTGAAAAAGAAAGTACACCCTCTTTGAGTTCTATGGTTTTATGTATCAGG